AATTAACCACACTTCATATAAAAAATATGGTCCAATTAACATTGCGATGTCCTAGGGCAGGACCATGTACTCAATCTCTGCATTACATCAGAGTAGCGCAAAACTACTCCTAACATACTCCAATGACATTGTTGTTATATTTTTTCGTTTGTACACGCTTTTGTTCTTCACTTCACAGATGCTTTTTTTGAAATTAATAAAAACCAAAAACAAAAATTAAAAATTACATGTTGCCTCTGACGACATTCGAACCCGAACATGCTGGGAGCTTAGAACTAACAGCGAGCATCTCTACACGTTCAGCTACAGCCAGACATGCAAATGTGCTTTCAAATGCTCAACTTCAATCACATTTCGTTAAAACACGAGCAGTGATCGGGTAACAATAAGCTGGTGCAGAGACACGAGTTGGTCCGCTACAGCATGACAGAGGAACACTTTTGTAAGTACTCCAATATACCACAAATAGACTACATGGTCCAACGATTTTTGCAGGGTAGTTCACACACAAAGCCAATGCAACTCTGTCGCAACTCTAGCTATGTTTTCTTGGGCAATAATGGGGATCCGCATAAAAATTTTGCATGCAAATTCAACTACAACGATATGATCCTGTTTGAAATCTGGTTCAATTATTATCCGTTGTTTATTTTGTTTCACTGATGTTTGGTATCCGTGACAAATGAATTCATACACAAACAGACATTCTGCCACAGAACGGTTTACAATGAATTTATAAGGTTTGATGAATACCCTTACTCATTTATAAAACCGTTTTGACCATTTTCTTGCTTTTACTATCCCAATGTTTTTGAGCATTTATTTTTTTATTCAAATACTTAATTTTAAAGTATATTGGACATAAAAAAAGTTTGATTCTTCTAAATTTACATCAGGACTTAACTTCAATAATCTAGCTATTGAATTTTTGCAATTCGAAATTTCCTTTCCATTAAATTAATAAAGTTACTTTCAGTTTCTTTATGTCAACAAGGAATTCTGGTTTAGGTTTTATCAGACCACCATTTGAAATTTGGTATATCCATGTATATGAGTTGGAGATTTTCTTTTCATACTCGGTACGATATTTCCTGCACCTGGGAATAAACGCGCCCGCTTAGAAATACTCGGCTGCGATGGGCAACAAATAAAATCACGCCCACACGTGAAGAGTCTCCTAATGAAACGTCGTAGCCATTTGCCCACCGTTGTCGTTTCACTTGACAATCGGAGGTTTAAAATAACTCAAGTTTGTTGTCCAGGCTCTTGGCAAACACAACGCACCGCCCGTAATTCCTTTTCATTTTATTTTGTATTTAAAATCAGTCGCAAAGCTCACAATTGAAAATTTAGATAAAATAAAATATTAAAATTTTGAATTGTATCGGGTTAAGAGTTGACATTTCAGTCACAGTTCAAAAGAGAAATCACTTCCACCTTCGTATGCCTTGTTATAAGAAACTGCTTTAGACTGTCAAGAAAAAAAATTCTAAAACTCAACGCAGTTTTTAGCAACTTAAAAATTGCACTTTTTTACATGAACTAAAATTTAAAATTTTTTTTCTGGAGATTCTAATTGAAAAATTTGCAATTTATGTGAAACGTTGCACAATATTTTTAATATTTGCACAAAGTTTGAAATTGGGATTTATATGCTTTTTTAGACAATGGGCTATATTTTTGTACAAAATTAATAAACCTTAAACAAACAAACGAAAAATAGTCAAAACTTGTTAAACCGTCGCGACCCTATTAATACTTATTATATTTTCTATTTCGTAGTACATAAAAAAGATAAATAATAGACTATCCAAAAACTGAGATCTACCACATTTTTTTGAAATCTACCACATTTTTTCCAGATTCTACCACACAGAATTATTTTAAGTCCGATCACTGTACTAGAGCTGGAAAACTATCGATGGCACTATCGATAGTATCGATGGTTTTGGACTATCGAAAACATCGATGGTTTTGTAAGCACTATCGATAGTTTTCACTCATACATACATTATTCAGTAACATTCATATTTCAGAGCGCAGATGCTACTTGAAGCTAAAAGTCATTGATAAACTTTTGTTCCTTAAAAAAATATCGTCATATTTTAGCAATTCTGATCTCATTTTCAATAAAAGTTGTTATGTTTAATTTTTGGACTGTTTTATTCAAAACTATCGATGGTTGTGACTATCGACTATAGAAACTATCGATGGTCGTGGCCAGTTTTCCAGCTCTAAAACCTACATCGCTAAAAAATGCTAAATGAATTTTAGGAATTTTTATCGATTTTCGCGATTCTATCTTAAAAAGGCATCTCTAAAAATCTCCATTTTTGATTCATTTTTGGGCAGATTTTAGCGATGAACAAAACGAACCGGATAAAGTGAGTGAACTGTATTGACAGCTCATGTAGCTAAAATTACGATTCCAGCGTATTTTGCATCGCTAAAAATCTCAATTTTTCGCTTAAACTAGTTAAAAATTAGCGACTAGAAATAAATGCTCCTAAAAAAATTTATCAACAAATCGCAGCTAATTTTCATCTTGTTGTTGGTTTAAACTACTCAACTCAACGCAACTATATAGAAAAAAACTTTGTTATTAAATATAGAAATGGAAAACTGTAACAGAAAAGTGGCAAAAGAACCAAAATTTATGCTTGCACAATGTTTTGAAAAGCTTTATTGAAACAAGAAAAATTTAGATCTTCTCTTAAATCGATTGATTATGGCTATATTGAAATTCTTAAATAAAAACAAAATATTTCTGCGTGCTGTCTGGCAGAATGCCTTGAGCAGGGATTGTTATCATACTGTCTTCATAAAACACTTAACTTTCACTTAATTCTCATCCAATATTATCTATAATGATAATGCTGCTTTGTGACACATTTACCTAAAAATCTTGCCCACTGATCGCTGGTAACTTCCTGAAAGGGAATTTTCCTGCTTCTTCTGCGAAGGTCGTTCCTTAGGGCCGGTTACTCAATATCTGGTTAACACTAATCTGCGGTTAAACATCGTTATCGACGTCTTCGACTCCATGCATACAACAGGACATTGAGTACCCGGCCCTTAATCTTCTTTGCGAATATTACTTATTTACAGTGTGTCCAGAATGTTCAAAAAAACCCAATTTTGAAAAAAAATCGCCAAAAATCGCAAATTTTTTTTAGATAAAATTCATGAAATCGATTTAGCAGATCTTATATTTTAAAAATGAGATCTTGTTATAATATAGTGTTTAATATAATAGTGATGTACAAACAATTTTCTTTAAAAATACGCATACTTTGTAAAATATTTGTTTCACCACATTTTGCAATAGGACTGCGCAATAACTAAATTTATTATAACTCATATTAATTGATTAATCGCACAATCCGCTTTTAAAAGCTCGGCGCTAAAAATTAAATAAAAACCTTTAATAAAGCGAGATCTGCTATTTCCACAATTCCTTCAAAATCGCCTACATACCTATATGTTGTTGTCATATATTGAGCTATTCAACCTTGATAACATACTGTTTGATATTGGAAACGTTTTGCAGCAGAAACTATTAGCCTTCATATAACACTTTATTCGAACTATTGAATTAAGACTTTCCTACCTCATCCTATTTAGTTTTTGTTGAATTCATTACGGAAAAAAGCGCTCAAAAAGCATGTGAGTGCGGCAAGGATAACAATATGAATTTACTTATATTTCCAATCATTTACTCCGTATGCAATTATCCAAAGTTCTTCGAGTCGGATGGAATGGTTCTGAGAAAAGTTATTCCATGGGTAAGTTAAAAAATTTTAATATTCAGTTTCCGCTTCTTTTATTTTCTTCAAAGTCAAATAGAGAATTGGCAGGTCCCTGAAACTCGCCCTCTTGTGATTCACACACTTTCCTGGTGACAAAAGGTCCATTCAGTATCAAAAAATTGTTACGAATTGTTACTAGTACTTGCAAGTTTTTACTGGAAATGCATTCAATAACCCAAAATATTTGCAAGAGAGACCGAATTCGAGAGCGTAACAACCCGAGAGAGCTGCAAATTCTTGCAAGTAAAAAATTTACTCGCAGGAATTTGCAGGAGTCAAAAAGTAAGGTTATGTTTCAAATTCAAATGTAAACAAACTGTTTAAGAGGATGATTTGATGAAACATAATTAGTGAAATGAAAATAGGGATGAAAAATTTAAATCTATTGTATATTTTTTTATTTTTATGACGATGGGAACTATTCCCAATTAAAAAGAACATTTCGCCCCAAAACTTAACCGTCAGAAAGTGTCAAAATGGCTTATGTTGCAAGTTTTTACTAGTTTTGCGTTCAATAACTTTTTCTAAAAATGTTCTCTTGCACTAAATTTTACTCTCTAGTTTTCTTTTACGCTCTCGCTGCAAGCACTTACTGGAAAAGTCATTGAATGGACCTAAAATCAAAGCTTTTTTAAAAGTATTTAATTGACTAAACCTTTTTGACAGTCTTTTAATATGCTTCTTAAGTGAAGTTTATCACGCAGTTCATTAGCCTTTTATGTAAAATTATCGTGGAAAACTAAGTTTTGTATATTTTTATTATTTGGAAAAAATTTATTTGAAGGGAAAAAATCGCCAAAAATCGCTAAAGGCGATTTCCTAAATTTTTACGCGCAAATATCCAAAAAAAAACTCGCCAAATTGGCGCGACATCACTAAATCTGGACAATCTGCTTATTTATTACAATTTTACAAAATGTTAAACTTTGCCGCATAAACTCAAAGTTAATTTTTAATTTGAAAATAACTAAGTTACACAAATAAATATTGATTAGTGGTGTTAGAAAAGATACGGCAACACCCTAGTGAATCGAAAGGAATTTATGGGGGACGTTTCTGCGATTGTTTTGACATTCTGCCTTTTTGATCTCTTTTTTGCACGTGTGCACAAATAAATTGAAAATTTAAATCAGGATTGATCCCTTTTTGTACTAAAGTAAGTGCTATATAAAATAAATGTAATTATCATTTATTGAACAATTAAAATAAATTTACAGATATTTCAAACGACAGTCAAATAAAAGCGTTTTGATAATTTGGGCGTGGGATCCATCACTGAATCCGTAACAATTTTGAAATATTTTAACGTGCTTGCATTAATTCACAAAATGCTATAGGCTAAGACTACCGAAGGTTATAGCTGTAAGATCTGCAGCAAAGCTGATGATTCACAGATGGTTTGCTGTGACGAGTGCGAAACATGGTACCATTTTCGGTGCGTTGGCGTTACAGCTTCGATCGAAAATGTGGACTGGCGCTGTGCGGAGTGCTGCACTCCGTCGCGCAACACTATGGCAGGGCAGGAGAAAGGCCAAGAGGGCACGTGCGATGGACTTGCTAAGAATCCAAATGCACAAGGTAATGGTGGGGCACATGCCCAAAACGTCGTAGACGCCGAAGTCGACGTACACGGTGTCCCACGCAGTAGTGCCAGCGGTAAGTCAGCAAAGATGCGGCGACAACGTGCCGAGGCCGCACTTCTTGAGGAAGAGCTACAAATTCTTCGTAAAAGAGAAGCGTTAATTGAAAGGCGCCGAAAACTTCTACAAAACCTCGAAACTGAAGACGAATGTTCCGATCTGGACGAAGGGTTGGACTCAACCGCGGTGGAAAAGTGGCTTAATGCAACTGTGCCTACCTTGCCCAACTCTGCGCCACCGAAAACACCGCACCAAGGTCACAAGACTCCAGCCGCGCAACCAGCAGGTCCCTCGGTTTCTCTCAGTCAGCCAAAAGAAGCACCCGACGACAGGAATTTCCAGCACCAGATCCAGTCCCTGCTGGAAAAGGTTTCTATACTGGAGCAAAGTGTACACAACACGGCCGTTCCTGCAACCGGCGCAACATGGATACCTAAATTGGTACCCAAATGCTCGTCATCACCGACGGATCCTAAGGCAACTGGCGAAAACGTCCCGATGCCGTCACTCTGTCTCACCAAGAATCAGATTGCTGCGCGCACTAGTGTTGGTAAAGACTTACCTAAGTTCAACGGCAAACCGGAGGACTGGCCTTTGTTCCTAGCCACTTACCAGCAAACTACCGAACTATGTGGGCTCTCCGAGGGTGAAAATCTTTTACGTTTACGACACGCTCTAGAGGGAGCCGCTTGGGATGCCGTCAGGAACTTACTCTTACATACTTCATGCGTATCGCAAATAATCGACACGCTAAGAATGAAGTTTGGGCGCCCCGAGCTTATTATCGCTGTACTCGTGACACGAATCCGGGAAATACCAGTCGTAAAGGAGAACCGTCTTGAGGCTTTAGTCGACTTAGCCTTAGAGGTACAAAATGTTTGCGCAACAATGAAGGCTTCGAATATGCTGTGCTATCTCAACAACCCCGAGCTGGAGCAAGAGCTAGTGAACAAGTTGCCCGGACTTCTTGCCGCATTTTGGGGTATGCACAAGTTGCAGTTGTCTTCCTGCAATCTAGAAAACTTCGCGGACTGGCTACTTCAACTCGCCCAAGGAGCGAGGAGGAGGAGTGTATTGGTGCCGTCCGTGACTTCAAAACCATCCACCAAACGTGGATACTTAAATGCTCACGCTGGCGATGTCAGAACTGGGAAACACAGCCCGTGCGTCATATGTCATGGAAAGTGTAGTACGACGGAGAATTGCAGCAAATTTAGGGCTGCGGATAGAGCGGAGCGGTGGAACTTAGTGCGTCTAAGTAATTTGTGCCGTCGCTGCTTAAAGGTACACCCTCGTCTTCAATGCCCCTCTGATGTCGTATGCGGGATAGATGGTTGCGTTTCCATACACCATCCCTTACTTCACAAACAGCGGAACAATCCAGTTAGCTCACCACTGGTTAACTCCACGCTAAACACTCATAGCTGCGACACGGAATCAATTTTATTTCGGGTGCTACCGGTAACGCTTCACGGTAAGAACATAAAGATTAAAACATACGCGTTTTTCGATGACGGTTCGTCACTTACGTTGATGGACGCCGAACTACAAAAGCAATTGAGACTTTCGGGCACAGCACAGCCTTTGTGCCTGAAGTGGACAGCGAACACCCACCGTTATGAAGACGACTCCCAGGTGCTCGAGTTGAATATATCTGGGTTCAACGACAAAAGACGTTTCACGTTAA